GACTGGCGCGCTGTTGTTAACTCGGCTATAATCGCGTAAGCGGTGWCTACGCCAATCAAGAAGAAGATACCCGAACTTAGCCCTTCCTTACTTGTTTAATAATAGGTTGCCAGAAGGAAAGCAAAAAAAAAATGTATCCCACAAAAACAACCGTTATGATGCAAATATCTGTGTAAAATTATTAAAATTAAATGTATTACACAAAAAAAATATTGACATTATAAATTTTAAAATAATGGCTTTATTAAAACTGATTTAATTTAAAAAAAACCTTCCCCTGTAAAATTTCGAGTTTGTGGGATACATTTTTTCGGCGGTTATGGCTCGATATAGTACTCCACGGTACATATAATTTTGTTGTTATCTTTATTTATAGCATACATTTTCGGCAAGAAAGCAGAGCTCAATCATAGTAAGAAGATCGTACTTTTAACTTACGCTAAAAAAATTAAAAAATTGAAAAAGTTTTACTTATTTTTGGCCTGATTAAATCGATTTAATTCAGATCAAAAAACTAGTAGGTCATTGTATGGAGAATCATCTACAGAATATCCAGATTATTTAATAATGATGTGATTATTTGAAAGTTAAGATAGATCTGAATGAACTGAGTGCCTACACTTTTGAAGACTCCACTCCAAAACTGAGATATCAATTTATACTTGTAAAATCATATTTTTAAGGCTAATTTCATCGAAACATATAAAAATCGATCTGCTTTTGAATTTTGCCCCTTAAGACTCTTTTAAGAATACACACAGTTTGTTCATGACAATTTTAATAGTAAATATTCATTTTTATACACTTTAAATACTATTTAGAAATGCTTATTGTTTCACCATTGAGAATTTATTTCATATTTCTTGGTTTCATATCACAGCCTCCTTATAGTCTACACAGTCTAAGGTCTCTCCATACTTAATTTTGGAAGGTATAATATTCCAAAACACGAATTTTGAGTATTTAAAGTTTTCACTGTAGCTTGCTCTCCGGTAATTTTTGAAGTTGATGCTTAAAAATCATTTCGGTTTAAATGCTGAAATGTCAAGCGCTGCTGAAAAGAAAAGAACAGAAACAGAGGAGACTTGTCCAAATAAAACATAACAAATACTCGTAATAATTATTTTCTAAGGACTTTATGCAGAGTTTTATGAAATTTTGGTGGAATGAATCTCAATGAAATCGTTTAAGGCAGTATTTGATTTCTGTGTGGGTGTGAGTAGACAAAATAATTTGGAAAAGTTGTATTTTCAAGATATATTTGAAAACCTCTAGTGCACTTATTACGTTTAGTTTGGAGCGATCAACTGGTGCCTATCATAGTCAAGACAGCAAAACCACATACAGACCTATTAAAAGGTCCACACACGAGACAGTCGAATTTTGAGGAAAGAAGAAACACTAAATCTGCTCAAATTAAATACAAAATAAATTCAAATTTACCAACGAAGACCTGTAAAAAAAGTTGAGTTAGTGGTGGAGAAAATAAAGGTTTCCAACTCTCCAGAAATATTCGACTGTCTTAATTAAGCGGTCTAAACTATGATAAAGTTGATTCGTACCTGTCACAAGCGTTGATGAAGTCCTTCAGCTTGTGTGTTCCTCGGATTATGTTCTTAAGTAATGATTTTTTATGTGCTTCCTAGATTCTCAGTCAGCTGAATTTTTTATTTTTTTATTTTTATTTTTGTAGTGAACTCTTGGTATCCGAAGGAAGCTTTGACTTTTTTGAGTTGTTAACTGCAGAGCTTCTGGCGGAGCTGCTTCTTAAATGCTGGATTGAAGCTCTGCATGTGACACAACACTTTTATACCTAATTTTCAGACGTGAGTTTTTTGAATGCGATTATTCAACAGGGGTTTCAACACCTCCATAATTATATGTGGAACCAATTAGAAAAGCGCTACAAATCTGTTTACTTAGAAGTCTGTGCTGGAACAAATTTAATTGTAAAACCGCATATTTAATAATAAAAATCGCAAAAAAGTCAACAGTCTTGGCACCGAACAAATAGAGTACAGGCAACAGAGGGTGTTTCCTCGGAGATCAGAGTTTTTGCATAACTTGGGTAAAAAAATGTGTCCACGTACATTTCATCCGATAACTATTTTCTATTTAGAGAACTGTCTTTATCTATATATGCCGATTATGAGCACAAATGAAAACTCAAAAAGCTCTGAGGCATGCAAAAATGTGCGACTCATAAAAAAGCGCATATGGCTGGCTATTGCCGCCAATAAACGTGGTGAACCAAAGCAATAAAGCAATAAATTTGTTGTAAAATGAGAATTGGATTGTGTGTGTCTGTGTTCCAGCATTAATACACGACCATATCTTTTCCATAATTATTTATATGCGAATATTTACAACAAAATCGGCGAATTATTTGGGGGAGAGCGGCGATTAAAACAATTGCCTAGGCCGAGGCACTCGCTTGAACATATGCCTTGAGCAGCCGCAGCAAGCAATAATGCATACATACACATACATATATTCATATTTATATGTATATGTACCTATATGGGCATTATACGAGTAATAACTCCTAAAGTTATTATGCGATAATATACTCGCTTGTAAAGGCAGGCACACACACACTTGCACACCGCCAACTGCATGTTATAAATGAAATTAATTCGTTTAATTGCCAGCGGAAAATATGGCTTACACACATACAAACATGCATAACAATACAACGTATGTATTTGTGTATGACTGGAATTAAGCGGTTGCCAATAAATGTTTGTGCCTCATTTTTATTTGCCTATACGCAATAGAATATATGTAATATATATATGTATATTCTTACATATGCACATACATACATATCTACAAGTGTGATAGACAGACATTAGGTCGAATTGTGCGATGCTTCATAAATTCCCATATTTTTATAGAATATTTGCGCTTGCTCATATATAAATATATGAAAATATTATTTGGGCCATTGGGCTATGCGGCAACCCAACGCTCTTCCCCCTTTCTCCTTTTGAGTTCTGCGTTTACTTTCCATGTGTGTGGGTCTGGGCTCGCTGGTGACCATGAAATCTGCTTAATCACCAAAATGAGCTCCAGTATTAAAGAAGTAATAATAAAAAGTATATAAAGCGAGCGAACGCCATATATTTCGGCGATGGCAGGTTCACTTATTTATTGCGCTGCGAAAGTATAAAGAGTTTCGGCTTTATACATATATACATGTGTGTGTGTGTGTGTGTGTGTGCGCCCATAACCTATCCGCTTAAGTGTGTGATTATGTGGGATGTGCAGATGCCACAAAGTATTTAGCTGCCACGTATTATACACACACACACGAGCTTTCATTTTAATACTTCATTGCTTATTCGCGCACTTTATTCGGCTGTCTGTTTTCAATATTAAGTTTGCTGTGAAATTATTTAATAACCATAATAATCATAAAGAAAACATAATTTTTAATAATAAATTAAGTGTTGTACATTAGCATTATACATAACGGTAATAATGTGGCAAGATTCAGAATATCAAAGTTTGTTTACGTACATATTAATATACGTATGTATGCATGTGTATATAGTTTTATACATATATATATACTCGTATATAAGAACGTAAGTATATTTGACGCTTATGTTGTACTGGAAAGAATCAGCTTGCACCTTAGGGTGATGTTGCTGTTTGACAGTTTGTTTTCTTTATTGAAAAATACATGTTTGTTTACTAAAATTTTAATTTGAAGCTCCACAAATTCTCAGGACACTATTTTGAAATGGATATTGATAAAATACAAGTAATATTGCTAATTGCTCATAGACCTGTTATAAATTTCTTAAGGGGTTACATGGGCTTGCTCAGTTAAAAAACAGCATTTTACAAAAATTTTTTACTCGTACACAAATTAAATATTTTATTGTTGCAAACATTCACTATTAACAAAGAAATTCTGTAATTTTTGAAAAAATATTTCAAACTCTGCCATTGCGACGCCATTTTCAGTGACGGCTCGAAAGAAAGATGCGCCTACGTTGGCAGGATAACTTCTTACAGGCTCATCTTAATTGAAAAAAATCCGTGTTTTAATTAAAATCTTAACTTAGAACTAGGACAAAGGAAACAAACTGAAAATTGGATTTTTGGCAGATATTTTTATAACAAAATGAAAATTTTGCGACTTTTTTTCAAATACTTTTAATCGAAAAAATAATCCCATATAAATGACGCATAATCGGTAAAAGGGACACCTTTTGCTCACTAGAAATAATTTATTTCACCAAAACAATATGCCAAGCCATATAAAGGCAAACGTATTTAATATCAGTCCTTTCATAGCCCTTCCTGCTTCATCTATTATTCTTAATGGGTTACAAAGAATGTAATATTTGCAGTAAAAAGATTAATGATTACGTAATAATTTAACATTATGAGATGTATAATTTTGTTTATCTGTTGTTGTTTTTCATTTCCTTCCTTATTATATATTACATGATAGGAAATAAGAAAGCAAAACTGATGAAATTATGAAATGCCTATGAGCACGAAAAAGTTACTACGAAGTAAATACAATGTTATCTTTTTTTCTCTATGCATCAAAATAGGCGCACAAGGGGCGTTCCAAAGTAAACAGGTCTAGCGCCATCTATATGTCGACTGCTGTGTTAGAATCTGCTATCTTTGTCGATTGTCCAGTGAGAATTTCATGACATTTCATAGATTGGAAGTGAAATTATTGCGTTTACAGTGTCAGTATGTTTGTGTTATCGGTGCGAAAATGAGCTTCGAACAAATTTGTTTTAAAATTGGTAAAACTTTTACCAAAACGTGTCAATTGACGAAACAAGTTTATGGTGATCATTGCCTGTCCCGTAGCAGAGTACACGAGTGGTTTCAACGTTTTCAAAGTGGTCGTGAGCACATAAATGACGATCAATATGTGGGCCAATCCAAATCCGTGATCACCGGAAATTCCATCGAAACTGTGCTTGAAATCATCATTGAAATTCATGAAAATGGAATTGAACGTCTCCAAACCGTCGATTTACCGCATTTTGACCGACCATTTGCGCTCACGAAAGGCGTGTGCAGGGTTTGTTCCGCACAAATTGATTGACGACCAAAAATTGCTCAGAATCCAACATTCGAAGATCGATTATTGGACCAAAAATCACATTTTAACCATGAACCACTCCCCGTATTCACCTGATATGGCACCGTGCGACTTCTTCCTTCTCAGAAAAATGCATTTGCCCATTCAAGGAAAGCGTTTTGCAGAAGTAGAGGCCATACAAAAGGCTTGCACCGGCATACTGGCGGCCATACCGGCCAACGAACAAACACTCGTCCGACATGCGTTTGGACCGTGCGAAAAGCTGTATTGAAGCAGAAGGAGACTTTTTTAAATAAAATAAATTGATTTTGCCGAAAAACCCGTTTGTTCTGTTATTTTTTATTAAGGGCTTGTTTACTTTGGAACGCACCTGGTATATATATCTTTATATATGTATAAAAATTAAGTGTTACGGTTTGTCCGTAGTAAACTTCTAAACTATTGAACTATTGATTCGAGTAAAATTAAACACATTGTGTTCAGTTTGATCCAACTTAAAAGATAGGGCAGTTTCTATCTCTATTATGTTAAAAGCAAAACAATTCATAAATAAAAAAAAAAAACATTTCTCAACCCAAGCAAGTGTTCAAAGTTCGAAAAAACGATAATATCCTTTACAGCTGTATTTTTTATAGCATAAAAGGTTATTAAAAGATGTTTACATTGATTTTTATTGGTAAGCTTAAATGGCATTTATCGCCCTGCTTCTTAAATTGTTTTATATCCATCTTGGACATTTGTGTCAACATTAACCCAAGAAATTATTTGTAGAGATCTGTTTGTATCCCAAACTTACCGTGCGATTCTGTGCGGTGATACAGTATCAAGTCTCTAAATTTGATAGAGACAATTTTTGAGACTTGAGACGATTTTGCTATTCTGTAAATGACATCTATTACATTTAATAATTCAGAGATGCTTTTAAACTTGGATGAAAATAAATATGTCGATAACAAAAATTAAATTTTCTATAACATAGTCAAAAAAGATAATTATCAATCAAAATAAAATTATATGTTGATTTTGTTTCATAATATTTTCGAAATTTTTGTAAAATTGATTTATTTTTAACCTTTTTAACTTTGAGTTGCTTACAAAATATAAAAAAATGACAATCGATTAATATTAATAATGATCTCTGCTCAGTATATTCAAAATGGCAGACAAGAGTTCTTTTTGCTTTTGTGACTTGCTAACTACCAGGTCTCAAATTTGAGGCAATATTTTGAGGCTTTTTAGCGAATAGTAACTAGTCACAAATTGAGATTTTACCACAAAATGTCTCAAATAGGGGCTAGAGACTGGTTACAGAATCCCGCTATTATTCTCAACTGAAAATGTCACTTTTTGAGCAGAATTCTCGACATTTGCGGGAAGTGTTGCTTTTCTTTTTTAATTCAAAGAAAAGTGCGGTTGAGGACCCGTCCACGCTTTACTGAGAATCACACATACACAGATAATACTATTACTCTACTACGAGTACTACCATCTATATGATTTCTATTGGGTATTAAAAAATATAGAATTTTTGTAAAGCAACCTGTGTTAGTTTATAAAAAAATGCATCATAAAGCATTTCGTGTGTTAATTAAGCATTGCTTGTTGAGGGAATAATGGAAAACACTTTTGGACCGTTTTTATACAATAAAGTCTTAAATTTACAAAAAACCG